TTAGTATGACTTTAAGAATTTTAGTTAAGTTTAGTTATGGTTGTCGTTGTTATTTTATTTCTTTCTGTTTGCTTAGATTTTTGTAAAATGATGTGCGTGGGAAAGAGTTTTTTTTTTTTTTTAAATTTAATTGAATTGGGTTTAAAACTAATAGTGATACTAAGTTTTTTTTAAAAAATAATGTAGATTAGATTCAGAAACTACTGATAATGCAAGTTTTTTTAAAATTTAATTAGATTGGGACTAAAATTATTGTAACAAGTGAATTGAGTTCAAAAACTACTATAACAAAAGTTTTTTTTCTTTTTAAATTCAACTAGATTAAGTTCAAAAACTACTGTAATGAAGGTCTTTTTTTTGAGTTTAAAAACTAATATTTTTTTTTTAATTTAAATAGATTGAGTTCAGAACTACTAGTAATGCAAGTCTTTTTCAAAATTCAAGTGAATTGAATCCAAAAGCTACTATAACAAAGGTTATTTTTTAATTTAAATTGATTAGGTTTAGAATCTACTGTAATGGAAGTTTTTTTTTGTAATTTAAGTGGATTGGGTTCAAAAGCCACTGTAACAAAGGTTACTTTTTTAAATTTAAGTAAATTGAGTTCAAAAACTAATAGTAATGAAGGTCTTTTTTATTTATTTAAGTAGATTGAGTTCAGAAACTACTAGTAATACAAGTCTTTTTTGAAATACAAGTGAATTGGATTCAAAAGCTACTGTAACAAAAGTTATTTTTTAATTAAGTTCAGAAACTACTAGTAACAGAAGTTTTTTTTGAAATTCAAGTGAATTGGGTTCAAAAGCTACTGTAACAAAAGTTATTTTTTAAATTCAAGTAAATTAAGTCCAAAAAATAAAAGTAATAAAGGTCTTTTTTTTAAGTAGATTGGGTTCAGAAACTACTAGTAATACAAGTTTTTTTGAAATTCAAAAAGATTAGGTCTAAAAACTACTATAATAAAAGTTATTTTTTAAATTTAAGTGAATTGAGTTCAAAAACTATTAGTAATAAAGGTTTTTTTTTAAATTCAATTGAATTGGGTTCAAAGACTAGTAGTAATGAAGATCTTTTTTTTAATTTAAGTAGATTAGACTTAGAAACTACTGGTAACAGAAGTTTTTTTTGAAATTCACTATAATAGTCTTTTTTTAAATTTAATTGAATTGGGTTCAGAAACTAATAGTAATGAAGGTCTTTTTTTTAATTTAAGTAGATTGGATTTAGAAACTACCTGTGATGCAAGTCTTCTTTAAAATTCAAGTGAATTAGATCAAAAACTACTGTAATGAAGGTTATTTTTAAATTCAAGTGAATTGAGTTTAAAAACTATCATAATGAAAGTCTTTTTTTAAATTTATACTGAATTGGGTTCAAAAACTAACAATAACAAAAGTTTCTTTTTTTATAATTATTAAGTAGATTGCATTTAGAAACTACTGATAATGCAAGTCTTTTTTGAAGTTTACTTGGATTGAGTTCAAAAACTACTGTAATGATAGTTATTTTTTAAATTTAAGTAATTTGAGTTCAAAAACTACTAGTAATGAAGGCCTTTTATTAAATTCAAGTAAATTAAATTATAAACCTACTAATTATAAATAAAATATATACGAGTTAGGTTGTTAATCACTCTAGCAGTAATATTAGCTAAGACTTATAAAAAAATTAGCATTTTAACTAGTATATTTGTCTAATAAATAAAGTTATAAAAAATGTTTTTTTTCTATAACGGTCTTAGTAGATACTTATCAGTTATTGCATCAGTTTTTAAGTAATTTAGACAAAACTAAGATGGAACCAACCTATCTATATAAACAGATAATCTGAATTTTATTAGTTATAGGGTTATCTAGTTATCTACTATTCAATTTGTAATTATAGTATAAAAGACTTCATTATAAATACTATTTATATTTTAATTATCTAATTATTTGTTGTATAAATCTACTTATCTGAACTAATAGATAGCTTGTGCCTCTAGATTGAACTGATAAATTTTATTAGATATAGTTAAAAAAAAATAACTACATATTAAATGCTAGTAAAAATACTAATTTTTATAAATCTTACGATCATTAGATATGACTAGCACTATAGCTAAATTAGTGACTATTATAATTAATTATAATTAGTATGATTAAATTTTGTGAATTCTATTATATATGTACTATTATAAAAAAAATTGTATTATACAGAATTCATAGAATTCATAAAATTTAATCCTACTAAATTTGAAAATAGTGATCTAACTAGCTATTTCTTATTAAAAATATTAATTTGTCAACAATACAACTTGGTTCTGACCTGTGCTCTATAATTTTAATACTATCCTTTATATATTTTTAATATAGGTAATGCCTACTTCTGATTTATCACTATTTTTATTGCTATTTTTGAATTAGAACAATGCTTAAATTTTATAAATTCTATAAATCTTGCATATTACTATAATATACAGAATTCATAAGATCTATAAAATTCAATAATTATACTAAATATTTGAAAATAGTAATAATTTTTTTAATCATTGTACAGTACATATAAAAATTGTATATATTGTTATTATAATATATATAAAATTTATTATTATATAAAATAATAATATTTTTTTTTTCTTTTTGACAAGCCATGCCTTATCATTTATTCAATATAATTATAAAACTACAAGGGTTACAAATGCCTAACTTAATAACCAAAGAAGGCAGTACATATTAAAGTGCAAAAATCAATAGTAAGACTTGACCGGTTACTCCAAAGGTACCTATTCGCAACCTGCTATAATGTAGTTTTAATTTAACCTAGAGTTTAGACTAGTTTATCTCTTCTTCATCGATATTACTATATGAGACTACCTAGCTCATCATAACTTCTCACCTATATAGTTAAATATTACCAAACTGATAATACCCTTCTATATAGCGAAAAGGAAAAATAAAAATACTATATATAAAGAACTGTATTACTCTACGGTATATACTATATATATAAGATAATAAATATATAAAAGAAAACAAAAACAAAGAGAAAAAAAAAAAAAAAGTTGCTCAAGTACTATCTCTATAGTTCTTGAGACTTTTGTAAAAATTGTATAAAGTACTGATACTATAATATACTTTATATCTCTAAATTATTAATCTCTGTTCGGCTACTAGGAGGTGTTTCAATTTGTTACTAACTATACTTGCCTAATCACGTGTATTATTGTTTACTTTTGGGTTGTTTGTAAATATATAGTTTTCACTAATTTGAACGTAGTATTGTTGATCCTTTTTCAGGAGTAGGCTGAATTCTTACAATCAAGAAAAAATGAAAATCTAAAGGACTGAGAGTAGTAAGTGAGTGCAAAAAACCAAGTAGGAGTAAGTAAGTGTAAAAGTATTTGTTCTAGTACAAATACTGTAGTGTGCCTCTTCTTTTATCTTTTGACTTCAAACTTTTATAGCTTCTCCTATTTAACTTTAATACTCTGCAAGTCAAACTTTCAGCTAAAATATTAGAACTGTCTACTTTAGCTTTCTGCTACTTATTGCTTTAAAGGTCTTATAAGACTATATACTACATGCTTCTGTTTCGAACTAATATTTTACTAGATTTCCTTAAGTTTAGTACTTGTTTTATAAAAAAATTTTTGCTCCAGTATTAGTTTTGGTGATCAGCAAGTATAAAACAATAATATAAATTTTATATAATTGTTTATTATTTAATATATAAGTTGTATTTATTTTTATTTTTTTTTTTATTAAGATGGCTTCCTTTGCTGATTAGATTTTATTAGTTTGTTATTATGGAACTATCATATAGATAATTTCCTAAGGTTTTACAGTTACATGATGAGTGCACAACAAGCCACATATATAACTTTAGTTATTGTCTAATTTAAGTAGTCTGCTATACAGATAATCAACTATCTGTTAGTTCTACACTATGCTGCTATACCTGCAACCTACTTGTAAGTTACCTATTTAAACACTCTAATCATTAACTCTTCCCTCCATTCCAAACTAATGTCACTACTATAGCTGACCGCTTAAGCTAGCTAGCTTACTCATAGATCTATTTACTGCATAGCTTAGATCCTCTTGAGATATATATACCTAACATATTATGAGTTGCAGAGCGCCAGTTAACCTTGGAAGCATACCTATTAGAGTAGTTTGTGCTCATTTTATAGATTCACTTAGCTTAGACCTTTGTAGATGTTTGTACAACCATAGTTCCTGCTGTAGCTCTCTACTGGTGTTTGTATTCTCTCTCTTAGGACGTTTCATAAGACAGATCCTCCCAAATCTAGTTAGCTACTAAGCTAGATTGGTATTGCTAATCTTTACTACAAACTAGACTTACTTGCACCTATCCTAATCTATGCCTTTCTCAGTAGTGTTTCTTATCAGATCAAGTATTAACTAGCTTGACCATCGAAAGCTGTACTACTTCACCTACTCAGAGTTTCTACTATGCAGATCTTCTACTCGTAAATCCTATTAAGATTTCTTCGTATATAAGTTGTATTTATCAAAATATTATATATTAAATAAATTTATTAAATTTATTTTTAAAATTTATTATTTGTAAAAATATCTACTTTTTCTTTAAACAAAAATATTTTTGAAGAAACTTATAAAGAAAATATTTAATTACAAACTGATCTTTCAAGTTTATAATTTCAATTTTTAGTTCAAGAAAATAATAATTTTTTATCTAAAACTTCTGAAATTATTGAAAATATAGATATTGAATTTTTAGAAAATGAGATATGAACAGAAGCAGAGCTTTCAAAATTTAAAGCATTATATTATAAAATAGTTGATATTCTTGAAAAACAAAAAGATGATAATCAAAGATTAGAAGAAAAAATTAATTTATTACAAAATAATGATTTTAAAGAATTATTTGAAAAAGGTTGTTGTGAAAAAAATTGTTTGCAAATTCAATATAAATATTCAATAGCTTTATCTAGAAATTTAAATTTTAAAAATCTTTCTAAAACATTTTAAGATATGTTTTTATTAGAAATTATTGCTGCTACAAAACAATCTGAAATATTTAGAAATTCAAAAAAATCTAAACTTACTACAAGATATACTTTTAAAGGAAAAGCAATTTGTTTAAATATATTTAAAATTATTTATAGACTTGGTAATAAATGATGAAAAAATTTAAGAGAACATTATATAGAAAATGATATTAATTTCTATATTAATACAAAACTAGAAAAGTTGGAAATAGAGCAATATCATTTAAAACAGTTATGAAAGTTATTACTTTTATAGAAAATTATGCTAAACAAAATAGTTTGCCATCTCTAGGTAAAAATTAATTTAATTTAAATAATTAAATTAAATTAAAAAATTATTATTTTATTTATTAATAATAATAATTTAGAATAAAGTTTTTGTGATAATACTATTGCAATAATATATTTACTAGCTAATACTATTTATTCTTCTTTGCATCTACAATATTTAGAAGTAATTGAATCTAATAATTAATTTAAAATTGGTTTATCAACTTTTATGACAATTTGAAATAAATTTTTGCTATATATCAAAAAATTAATACCTCATAGTGATTTATATTTAAAATGCAAAGATATGAGATTTAATGCTAATTATTGGTTAGTTGAAGAAAAAAAAAGTAAAATTTTAGAATAGCATAAACATATTGAATGAGTACATAAAGAACAGAAAAATTATAAGTAAATAATTTTATTTTATTTTATTTTATTAAAACAATATTATTTATTTTTAAATTAAAATTCTATTAGAAAAAGTATTAAAAAAGCATATAAAGATATTCAAAAATTTGAAATTAATAATATTATATGTTCAGAAAAACCAAGTTTAATAGATATTACAATTTATCTTTCTTGAGATTATGCATAACAAATTTAATTATCATATTCTTCTCAACAAGAAATAAATATTTTTTACTATAATAATTTTATTATAAATAATATTAAATTTTTTATTAAATAATATTTTATTATTAGAGTGAAATTTATTTTAAATCTTTATATAAAGTTCATTTATTTGGAATATGTGATGATACATTTCTACATCAAGTAAGTATTAATATTTATTTAATATTTAAATATATTAATATAATTTATAATTTATAATTTTTATAGGTAAATTATCTTATTAAAGAAAGTGAAATAGTTGGTAAAGTTGCAGATACTGTTATTTTCTTAGTTTATAATTATTTTAAATTACATAGTTTAGGAGAAAAAAAATTAGTAATTCATGCTGATAATTGTTCAGGACAAAACAAAAATAATGCAATGATAGCATATTTAATTTGGAGAGTTTTAACAAGATTACATAATAGTATAACTTATTGTTTTATGATTACAGATTATACAAAATTCAGCTTAGATAGATTTTTTAAACTTATAAAACTACTTTTAAGAAAATCTGAAGTTAATAATCTTGATGATTTAGTTAAAGTAGTTCAAACTTCAACTCCTGGAGGTTATAATATTGCACAAACAATTTTTGATGATAAAGGAAATCAAGTTGTACATTTTTATGAATGGACAGAATGGTTAAAACAAAAATTTACAACAATTCCAGATATCTTAAAACAACATTATTTTGAATTTAGTAATTTATTTCAAGGAAAAGTTAAAATAAATACTTCTTCCTATGGTGAAAAAACAATAATACAAATAGAAAAAATTAAACAAAAAGATAAATTTGAACAATTAGTTGAAAAAAAACTACCTAATCTTAGTGCAGAAAGACAATGGTATTTATATGAGCAAATAAGAAATAATATACAAGATCCTAGCAAAAAAGATAATCTTTGTCCACTACCAACTGTAATTAAACTAGTAAAATCTAAATAATAAATAACTTTTAAAATTTAAATATTAATATATTATAAATTAAATAAAATTTAAAACTTATAAATAAAAAAATAAATATTTAAATTTATAAAAAATAAATTTATTTTATAATTAATTATCAAATAATAATAACACATGTATAATTTATAAATTATTTATTTATAAAATATAAAATTTATTAAATTTTAAAAAAAATTATTATATAAAAATCCATTTATAACAAAAATCTTAAAAATATTTTTAATAATATTTAAATTAGCTATATAATTTTTAAATTGTACAACTTATTTTAATTTTTACTCTATATACATATAATTTGAGCCTATCAATATAAGTAACAAATTATCAGAATAATTCCCAAAAATATTATAACATAACTTATACTGCAACACCTATATTAAATACATCATCTAATTCTTTCTACTTAATTTCATTTTTTTAAATCCTTTTTTCTAAAAACCGAAGAAACTACAAAAATATTTTAGAAAAATCATAAAGTAATCACTAAATTAGAATTTTATATGTAAAGATATTAAGTAATCCAGGTACATACATAATATGAGTACCACAGCAGAGATCATGTTACAGCACTTTTAGAGGTTATCCAGATAATTAGTGACAGGTTATATCTGGTTATAAGTCTCTAAATGCTATTTTCCTGAAATGATATAACCCTGTAAAGTTAGTCAATGTTAGTGCTAACTCCAAAAGAAATTTGGTATGCTGAAAATACTTTCAGAAATTCATTGTCTGAAAGTTGAAACTAAAAATCCTTTTGACTTTCGGGTAAATTACAGCTATTTTTGTTCTTCCTAGGACAGCTAAAAAATTGCTGATAACCAAATAGATAAGTTCCTGGCTTGGAATTTATAAGTTACCAATATCAGAAACTTATTGATTTAGTTATCAGCAATCTTTAGTTGTCTCTTTGAACAAGCTTTATTCACAACATGTGAAAATCAATTATTTAACCCAATCTACTTGACTTATGGCTTTCGTACTAGTAAGTTTTGAATCTAATCCACTAGAAATTAAAAAAGACCACTACTACTATTGGTTTTAAACCCAATCTATTTGAATATAAAAAAATACCTTCATTACTATAGTTTTTAACTCAATCTACTTAAATTTATAAAAGATTCATATTGTCAGTAGCTTTTGAACCCAATCCGCTTAAATTTAAAAAAGACTTGTGTTATCAGTAGTTTTTGAACCCAATCCACTTAAATTAAAAAAAAAGACCTTCATTACAGTAGTTTTTGAACTTGAAAAAAAGACTTTCATTATAGTAGTTTTTGAACTTAATCTACTTGAATTTAAAAATAAACTTCATTACAGTAGTTTTTGAACTCAATCTAATTGAATTTCAAAAAAGGCTTGCATTACTGGTAGTTTCCAAACCCAATCTATTTAAATTAAAAAAAAGATCTTCATTACTGTTAGTTTTTGAACTCAATTCAGTTGAATTTAAAAAAAGACTTTATTACTGGTAGTTTTGGAACTAAATCTACTTGAATTTAAAAATAACCTTCTTTACAGTAGTTTTTGAACCCAATCCATTTGAATTTCAAAAAAGACTTGTGTTACCAATAGTTTTTGAACCCAATTCAGTTGAATTTAAAAAAAGACTTTTGTTACTAGTAATTTTTGAACCTAATTCAATTGAATTTTTTTAAAAAAACTTTGTTACTGTAGTTTTTGAACCCAAACCATTTAAATTTAAAAAAAGATCTTTATTATCATTATCTATCTGTTATATGCCCCTAACCTGCGCATAACTGTTGTAACCAACCATTATTCTTGTTATATCCGCAAAGATTCATTCTCAATATATAGCAAGTGGTGTACTAGCAGTTTTTAACAGAAACTAAAAAGGCTTTCTACAGGTAGTTTTTGAATCTAATCCACTTGAATTTCAAAAAAGACTTGCATTACTAGTAGTTTTTGAACCCAATCCACTTAACACTTAAATAAAAAAAACCTTAGTTGTTGTTAGTTTTTGAAACTAATCTAATTAAATTTAAAAAAAGACCTTCGTTACAGTAATTTTTGAACTCAAACTATTTAAATTTAAAAAAAGACCTTTATTATCATTATCTATTTGTTGTGTGCCCCTAACTCACGCACAACTATTGTAACCAACCATTATTCTTGTTATGTCCGCAAAGATTACTACTCATATTATTATTGTTAGTATTTTAGAAAATATGTAGAGCTTTGGTACCAGAATTTTTAACTTGTCTTCAGAGCAGTACTTTATTTGTGTTTTCTGATAGGCATTCTCTATATATGGCAAGCAGTGTACTAGCAGTTTTTAATAGAAACTAAAAAAGCTTTCTACCAGTAGTTTTTGGACCTAATTCACTTGAATTTCAAAAAAGACTTGTGTTACTAGTAGTTTCTGAACCCAATTCACTTAACACTTAAATTAAAAAAAAAACCTTAGTTGCTGTTAATTTTTGAACCCAATCTAATTGATTTTAAAAAAGACCTTCGTTACTGTAGTTTTTGAACCCAAACTATTTAAATTTAAAAAAAACCTTTATTATCATTATCTATCTGTTATACACCCCTAACTCATGCATAACTGTTGTAACCAACTATTATTCTTGTTATATCTGCAAAGATCTATTCTCTATATATGGCAAGCAGTATACTAGCAGTTTTTAACAGAAACTAAAGAGGCTTTCTACTGGTAGTTTTTGGACCTAATCCACTTAAATTTCAAAAAAGACTTGTGTTACCAGTAGTTTCTAAACCCAATCTACTTAACACTTAAATTAAAAAAACCTTAGTTGTTGTTAGTTTTTGAACCTAATCCAATTGAATTTAAAAAAAGATCTTCATTACAGTAATTTTTGAATCCAAACTATTTAAATTTAAAAAAGACCTTTATTATCATTATCTATTTGTCATGCGCCTCTAACCTGCACATAACCATTACAACTAATCATTATTCTTGTTACATTCACAAAGATTCATTCTCTATATATGGCAAGCAATGTACTAGCAGCTTTTAACAGAAACTAAAAAAGCTTTCTACTAGTAGTTTTTGAACCCAATTTAATTGAATTTCAAAAAAGACTTGCATTACTAGTAGTTTCTAAACCCAATCCACTTAACACTTAAATTAAAAAAAACCTTAGTTGCTATTAATTTTTGAACCCAATCTAATTGATTTAAAAAAAGACCTTCATTACTGTAGTTTTTGAACCCAAACTATTTAAATTTAAAAAAAACTTTTATTATCATTATTTATTTTTTTGTGCTTCTAACTCGCACATAACCATTATAACCAACTATTATTCTTGTTATATCTACAAAGATTCATTCTCTATATATGGCAAGCAGTTTTTAACAGAAACTAAAAAGGTTTTCTATCAGTAGTTTTTGGATCCAATCTAC